CTCCCGCCCCCGCCCCGCCCCCCACAGAGCCCATAGCGGGGGAAGGCGGGGGAGGGGGAAGGAGGCTGGGGGTGTCACAGATCTGCCCGCTGTCCCCTGCCCTGTCTCTCTCCCCCCCCCCCCGCCCCGCCCCCCGCAGAGCCCACGGCGGGGGAAGGCGGGGGGTGGGGGAAGAGGCTGGGGTGTCACAGATCTGCCCCCTGCCCCCCGCCCTGGCTTCTCCCCGCCGGGCCCCAGCGCCTGAGAAAAACACTTGAGTGCCGTTCCCACTCCACACCCACGCCCTCCAAATACCAGGCCCGCAGGTCACGGGATGGGGAGTCTGGGGCACACACGTGTGCTCCGGGCTACAGCCCCACCGTCTGCAGGTGCGGCCGGGGCGGGCGTGTGGGCAGGGACGGCGGGCAGGGTGGGCAGAGCACGGGCCCCGGTCCTGGGGCCACGGCGTCCGTCTGTCAGCACGCCCACGGCGGACGGTCCGGATGGTCCGCTTGGGAAGAAGGCGAGGAGGTGGGGCAGGCCCCCGAAGTGGGACAGGGTCACCACCTGGGACCCCGATGGCGCCAGTCGGCCCTCTGTCTGGGAGGCCCAGGCAGGCGTCCCGGCGGAGCTGTCCGCAGGGGCACCCCCGGGAGGGATGCCCGGGACAGCACCCCCTCTCGGACCCTGTCCCAGGCCAGGCGCCCGCCCAGGCACTGCTGCTGAGCAGAAGCCACCTAGAGCGCCGGGCATCGGTAACGAGCTTTAACCACGAGGGAGGAGGTCCCAGAGGCCCGCGGGGTGAATTCCACGCGTGCGCCGTGGCCACCGGGGCGTCCCTGTGGCTCGGCAGCCGGTGCCCGTCCGGCTCCAGAGGACGCGCCTTAGAGCTGGAATCCAGGCCTGCGGTTCCTGTTGGGAGCCGTTGGGTGCCTCGGGGTTGCAGGGAGAGCCCCAGCTGGGGGCAGAATGGAGGGGAGACAGGTCCCCGGTGCCTCAGTGCGGGTGGAGGCTTGGGGCCCTGTGGCAGTCACATGGAGGGCCCTGCGCATCAGCGGGGGGCGGGGCTCTGCTGTGGAGCCGGCTGTGTGACCTGGGGCCAGTGACTTACCCTCTCTGAGCCTTGGGCTTTGCTACCCACTCAGCGGGCACAACGCTGAATTCTGTCTTGTTTATTTCATGAGAGTGTCATCGCACGTGGGAAAGTGTGCGAGAAGTGCATCCATGCAGACCCCACAGCGCCAATAGGATGAGAGGACAATTCTTCATTGTCCTTTAGGACAGCGGTCGGCAAACTCATCCGTCCACAGAGCCAAATATCAGCAGTACAGCGATTGACATTTCTCTGGAGAGCCACATTTTTAAACTTAAACTTCTTCTAACGCCACTTCTTCAAAACAGACTCGCCCAGGCCGTGGTGTTTTGTGGAAGAGCCACACTCTGGGGGCCAAAGAGCCGCACGTGGCTTGCGAGCCGCCGTGTGCCGACCACGGCTTTAGGACATGGAGGGCCGGGTGGCTACACGCGAGGCCGCCTCGGGGGTGAGGGGCCTGAGAGCAGCCGCCCCGCAGGGCCAGGACCAGCATCCGAGCACGGGGCTTGCGCCGTTCCCTGAAAACACACGTCCTGGGACCCCCCAATGGGCCCCGTTTACACAGGGTGCGCCGGCGGGATCAGCGGAGGAGGGGCCTGCAGGGCTGGCGGCCGGTGCCCAGCCACCGTGTCCTCCTCAGGAGGGAGGTTTGGGGAGGAGCCACGGAAGAGACACGGGATGAGGCCACGGAGGAGGCCACAGAGGAGGCCACGGGTGGTGGAGGCAGAGGCTGGGCCCGCGCTCTGGAGGCCAGGCCACGTCAGGGCTGCCAGCGGCCATCAGACGCCCGGCCAGGCCAGGCAGGGGGCACGGCTCTGCCGGCACCTGGGTCTGGACGCCTGGCCTCAGACCGGAGCTGCATCCAGCTGTCCAGGCCGCTGGTGCAGGGCAGCAGGCCTGGAGACAGCCGCATCGTCACCGATTTCGAGGCCGGCAGCCACAGGAGGAAGGAAGGCGGGAGCAGAAACACCTGCCGTGGCTCTGAGAGGGCGCAGGGAGGGGTTCCGGCTGCGGGAGAGGTTGGTGGTGAGAAGAGGGGGCTGTGGGGTTCAGTCCGGGCGCTGGAGGCAGTACCTCTGGCGGTGGTGGACGGAGGGGGACGGAGGGAGGACGGAGGGAGGACGGAGGGGGAGTGGAGGCGGTACCTCTGGCGGTGGTGGACGGAGGGGGACGGAGGGGGACGGAGGGAGGATGGAGGGGGAGCGGAGGCGGTACCTCTGGCGGTGATGGACGGAGGGGGACGGAGGAGGACGGAGGGAGGATGGAGGGGGAGCGGAGGCGGTACCTCTGGCGGTGATGGACGGAGGGGGACGGAGGGGGACGGAGGGAGGATGGAGGGGGAGCGGAGGCGGTACCTCTGGCGGTGGTGGACGGAGGGGGGACAGAGGGAGGATGGAGGGAGGATGGAGGGAGGACGGAGGGAGAGCGGAGGCGGTACCTCTGGCGGTGGTGGACGGAGGGAGGACGGAGGGAGGATGGAGGGGGAGCGGAGGTGGCACCTCTGGCGGTGGTGGACGGAGGGGGACGGAGGGGGACGGAGGGAGGATGGAGGGGGAGCGGAGGCGGTACCTCTGGCGGTGGTGGACGGAGGGGGACGGAGGGGGACGGAGGGAGGACGGAGGGGGAGCGGAGGCGGTACCTCTGGCGGTGATGGACGGAGGGGGACAGACTGGCCGAGATGCCCAGAGGCCACGTGGACAGGGCCGCGCCCAGGGCAGCAGCTGCCTTCACATCCCCAGCAGCGAGATGGCAGCCGCTGTGGGCGTGCGCCTCCCCATGGGCAGCCCCCTCGCTGGGCCGGGCCTGCCCCTCCTGCCCGTCCCTCCACGGTGGCCCCGTGTGGGTAGAAACCGATCTGGGTGCCGCCTGGGGATGTGGCAGGGGGTCCCCGTGCCTGCAGCCCACAGGTGCTCCCCAGGCCCAGAGGGGAGGCAGCTGGTGGGAGGGGAGCGTGGGGGGGCCTTCGGGTGCCTCCGGGGCTCCGGCCCTCCGTGACCGCTCGCGCCACCTGCCAGACGGCCGGGCCGGCCCTGGCCTTGGCCATCAGGGGCTTTCAATAGACCAGCACAGAGTCGCGCTGGGCGGGGTTTGCACGGTCGGGCGTCACTGTGGCTGTGGCCAGTGGTACGCTCACGGAGCCGGTTCCGGCGGGCCTGTCTATTTAGCGGGCAGAGCAGTGGGGATGTCTGCTCCTTCTAACGTGGGGAGGACAGGCTGGCTCTGAAGGTTTGGGGAGCAGATGAGGGAGTAGGGGGCGTGCTTTGTTTTCCTTTCTTTCGGTTTCGCTTCACGGCACACATAAGGGGAAACGCTTACGTGGGTGTTCTAGGCGGTCTAGACAGCAGGCCTCATCACACCTTCGCATCCTGGTGTGGGACACGGAGAACAAGGCGTATCACAGTGAGCGCAGCGCACACGCACACACAGGCGCGGCGGTTTTGCTGGTAGTAACTAAGGTTCCCTCCCCCGTTCCACCAGGGACCTGTGTGCCCACCCTCCAGGCGAGGGCACTGAGGCCCGCGTGTACGTGACGTGTCCCGAGGGAAGTCACGGGCACAGACATGGAGCCTGCCGAGTCTCCGTCTGTCGCTGCACTCCCTGAGGCCCCAGGGTTGACTGCACATTCTGCTCGGCCAGTTCCACGGGTGCCTCTCACAACAGCCAGCGTTTACACACACGACTGAAAACCAGCCGGCAGTTAGCATTTGTGAAACACGGAGGGTCTTTCCCTTCAGCCTGTCCTCGGTCCTAGGGATTCCATCTCCCTGAATCCTAGCGGCACAGGCAGCCCTCAAGGTGAAGACGGATTGGGGGTGTTTTCCACGCCGTTGCCCTGGGTTTGTAAAAAGGGGAGGCTGGGGTGGGGAGGGAGTGGATGGCTGCCCATCCCATCCCACACCCCCGGGGTCTCCAGTGGAAAGAAAACGAACCCCCCAATCCCTCTTGATCCTGTGTGAGGAAAGGGAAGCGCTGTGTCTGTGTGAAGAGTCACAGTGTCTGTGTGAAGAGTTAGTGTCTGCGCTGTGTCTGTGTGAGTGTTACAGTGTCTGTGTGAGTGTTACGGTGTCTGTGTCTGTGTGAGTGTTACAGTGTCTGTGTGAGTGTTACAGTGTCTGTGTCTGTGTGAGTGTTACAGTGTCTGTGTGAGTGTTACGGTGTCTGTGTCTGTGTGAGTGTTACAGTGTCTGTGTGAGTGTTACAGTGTCTGTGTCTGTGTGAGTGTTACAGTGTCTGTGTGAGTGTTACAGTGTCTGTGTCTGTGTGAGTGTTACAGTGTCTGTGTGAGTGTTATGGTGTCTGTGTGAGTGTTACAGGGTCTGTGAGTGTTACAGGGTCTGTGTGAGTGTTACAGGGTCTGTGTGAGTGTTAGTGTCTGTGTGAGTGTTACAGTGTCTGTGTGAGTGTTACAGTGTCTGTGTCTGTGTGAGTGTTACAGTGTCTGTGTCTGTGTGAGTGTTACAGTGTCTGTGTCTGTGTGAGTGTTACAGTGTCTGTGTCTGAGTTACAGTGTCTATGTGAGTGTTACAGTGTCTGTGTGAGTGTTACAGTGTCTGTGTGAGTGTTACGGTGTTTGTGTCTGTGTGAGTGTTACGGTGTCTGTGTGAATGTTACGGTGTCTGTGTCTGTGTGAGTGTTACAGTGTCTGTGTGAGTGTTACGGTGTCTGTGTGAGTGTTACGGTGTCTGTGTCTGTGTGAGTGTTACGGTGTCTGTGTGAGTGTGAGTGTTACGGTGTCTGTGCTGTATCGGTGTGAAATGTTACATTGTTGCTACAGGTGAGCGTCTCAGAACTTACAGCCACACTCCAGGCAGAGGGAGAAGCCTGCAGGTCACAGTCATGACGTGCTGAGCCCGGGCGGGCCACGTGCGCGGGCAGTCTGGCTGCAGGTGCGAGCCGGCCGCCGCTCACTCCTCTCCTCTGTCCACAG